TTGTGCCCCGATGTACTGGTGGCAGGACCAGGGCACGGGGCACTGTGGGGAGCCGTGGCCACCCTCCGTCCCCTGGCACGGGGCTGGGGGATGCTCCGGAGCCAGGCACGATGGCCATGTGGGGATACGGCATCACTGCGGACCAGTTAGAGAGGCCTTGCTGGAAATGATTACTGTCCAGCGAGCTCTAAATGGACAAAATTGGAGGTAATTAATGGAGAAGTAATAGAGCTGTATCTGCATCTCTTCCTCCACCAACCAGCAGCAGCCGTGGGGGGACCCAGATCGAGGGCACCCAGAGCCAGCTGTGGGCAGGCAGAGGGAGAGCAGGGGATTAACGGCTGTCGACGGGAAGATGAGATATTTTCTTGTATGATTTTTCCTTTAAAGGAGAAAAACATTCACAGCAAGACTCACAAATCCCAGCGTCGCAGCAGAAAAGCCATTTCCAATCCACGCCAAGGAGGCAGAAGGTGCCGGGTTAGATTGATCCCCCTGACAATGCTGTATTAGTGGGAAATCAGAGCTGGAGCCCGGGGAAACCGCTGCAATATCAAACAATTACTTTACATTTGTCCTTACAAATGGAGGGAGCAGAAACGTGCTTAAATCAAGTATTAGATTTCCAAAGGGTAAGCAAATGAGGGCTTGGGAAGGGCTGTGCTGGAAATGCTTATCACATTAGGAGCTCTTAAAACGCAGCTTAAAAAGCCTGGGAGCAGGCAAAGTGCATTCAGCAGAGGCGGGGTGGGGGGTGGCAGGGACGTGGGGCAGCGCTGGTTTGGCGATGCTGACGGTGGGCAGGGGGGCTGCCAGCCTGGGTCCCCCCCATGCATGCCCCCAGCCCAGGGGACATGGGGGACCAGAGTGTCCTGCGTTATCCAGCTGCTGCCCTGAGCAGCTCCCACGCCATGGAAGGGCTCAACGCTCAGGAGGAAGATGCAGCCTTTAGTGCAAGCTTCATAACCCAACATGTGGATTGTAACAACCCCTGCACGATTTTTACTGGGCCAGAAGGGAAGCGACTCCATGGAAGTGTTTCTTTGCAGACAGTGGTGGAGAGCCTCGCTGGAGCGTGCTGCAAAGCCTTGCTCAAAGTGTCCAAGGCACTGACATCGGGAGGTTTTGCTGACCTGATCCCTGTGCGTGCCAGGCTCAAAGTGCTGAACCCCACTGCTGCTCCAGGGGATGCCAAGAGACCCTCGAGGCCGTGCGAAGCCGTCCCCGGTGCAGCATGTCCCTGGTGGCACAGCCACAGCCGTTGCGTGCGCTGTGTTTTGATCAGTTCGCTCAGGCTTGAACCCCACAGAGCGGCTGTTTAATATTTATCAGCTCATAAATACTTAAACATAATGAATGTGGCTTAAGTGGTCCCGGGTCCTGCTCACGCTGAAGACCTCTTGAGATGCGCTGAGTCAAGAGAAACCTTCCCAGGGCCCGTTTTCAGGGCTGGAAGTGCCCTGCCCTGCTTCATGGAGCACAGAGCCACCGGCACATCCCTGGAAGCCACCAGCACATCCCCCAGAGCCATGGCACCGCTCCTGCCCAGCAGCAGCATCTGTCCCCAAACATGCCCTGAACGCCCCCTCCCCAGCGGGACCATCCTAGGGCCCCCAGTCAGAGACACTCACTTTGGGCATCTCCCTTTGTTATTTCCCAGTCTCCCGGTGAGGAGACCCTGACCCACCTCGCGAGCAGCCGCGGGAGGACCACGGTTAGCTGCTATGAGCAGGCTGCAGTGCTGGACCGGGGAGTTAAATCAAGCTCAAGTATTTTCAGTTGCACAAGGAGCATCATTCATCTCTCAGACCAAGGCAGGATCACAGCACTGTATTAACTTCTTATTAATTAATACAATTCAGTTCCACTGCTGGCTCCATGTGCATTGGCAGCAGCAGGGACGGGGAGTGCAAGCGAGGTCGTGGGGGCAGCCCAGCCATGTCCCTGCGCCGTGATGCTCAGGAGCTGGACCCCGGCTGGTGCCGGCTGTTCGGATCACCCCCCATGGCCGTGTCTCTGCACCGAGCTGCACACATTTCTAACACCCCCCCTCCCTGCACCCACCACGGAGCTGGGCAGCAAATAAATACAATTATTAGCAGAAACCTCTAACCCCCTGGGAATGATTAATGCTCAGGAAGAGCAGGGATGCTGATACATTCCAGTAGGTCACGTTTCCTCCTCTTATTTTATCAGGCTGCAACAAGGGACAGAAACACGCTGTCGGCTGACACCCTGGGCTCTGCCACCGCTGCCCAGGATGGGTTCAGCTGCGGCATCCCCCGGCAATGCCAGCACCCGCCTGCCCGGGCAGCGCAGGGACAGCACGGGGGCAGCGGCCGGGCTCCTGCACGCTCGGGTGGCTGGCAATGGGGATGGCTCAGGTATAAATATTTACCCAGTGATTGAATGGATTCAAGTGAGTTCATTCCTATTAGAGGATCTGTTAGTAATTATCTGACTCTGCGTTATTACCTGGGGACCTCTAATCTGCCACAGTAATGAGTTCCAGCAGCTCATGTGGCATAACAAGCAGGAAGGGGATGGTGGGATGGGGCACAGTGCCATCGCAGCAAGGGCAGGGCAGGGCTCAAGGACCCCGCGGGGCCCGGGGCCCTGCCACTGCAGCATCACTGCAGCCAGGGGACACGAAGGTCCTGCTCCCCGTCCTGAGCAGCAGGTCACGGGCCAGCCCCGGGCAGGGTCCAGGGACAGCTCAGCAACCTTTGGGAAGGCCAAAAGAAGCTGAGACCTGAGCAAAACCACAGCTTCCCAGAGCAGCCACTGCTGCGAGGGATGTGCTGCGGGACACAGTCCTTGTGCCGGGCACGGGGCGAATCCTGGCTCCGCAGGGCAGCCCCCCAGGCTGCTGGGTGTGGCTGGGCAGCATCGTCCTGGTCCCGCCTGCCGTATGGATTTGCCCTATGAGCCTGAATTGACTTCATGCAACTCAATGAAAAGAAAATAAAGAGTAGGACGCGAGGCAGAGAGCTTATTATCCTCCTGCAGCCGGTAGTGATGTATACCCACAGCCAGCAAGGCAGAGAACTCCCTCCCGGGAGCTGTGCCCAGGGTCTGCGTGTGTTCGCAGAGAGCACAGTCCACGCTGCCGTTCCGTTCGGCACCCATCCATCCCCGCGTGCTGCCAGCACCCAGGATCACACCCCCGCTGCGTGGCTCCGGGGGGATGAGGGGTTCGAGGCCAGGGAAGGGCATCGCTGGTCTTGGGAGACAGGGGCTTCAGCCCGGACTCCTCCTCTTCACACAGCTCCTACCTTCTCTGAGCGCTGGCAGGTCCTGCTGG